GGGTTGGTAGGAGGGACAGTCTGGGAGGGCACCTCTGAGGAGGTGGTGACATGTGAGCCAAACCCTGAATGAAGATACCGGGAGAGTGGTGACCAGAGTGGATGGGGCTGGGAAGCAGGGGTCGAGAGCAGGAAGTAGCAGGTGCAGGCTCACAAAGCACATTCGGGGTTCAGTCTGGGACAGTGGGAGCCGCTTCAGGCTCCTTAGGGAGTGAAGTCGATCTAGGGACGCAGCGATATGTGAACGGGGGGCTTAGAGCAGGGTCTCCCACTTGATGGTGCCCAGCCACCCCTTCCCCTGTCTTGGGGTAGGGATCTCCCTCTCTGCTCAGAATTCAAGGGCTGCGAAGGTGAATCAGAACTCTGAGGATCACACACAGACTCGCTTCTTCCTGTGCCGGCCCAGGATCCCAGTCGCAAGGGGAGCGCCTGGCTCAGCCCCTCCGTGCCCCCAGGGGAATGAAGGCACCCCAAGGGCGGGCTGCTTCCCCAAGCCTTGCCTAACAAAAGCAGCAGGGCCCCTGGCCACCTGCTCCAGCCTAGCAACGCCCCCCTGGCTGGCCTCCCCTGCCCCTCGCAGCCACAAACCTCTTTTGTGCTTGCTCCCTAGGGCTCCATCTCTGCACAGAGGTCACGGGCACCGCTGACCCGGTCCCCCTTGCCGGCGTGCAGGCTGGTAATTGAAAATTCCAGAATTCCCTGCTGACCAACTTACAGAGAAACCTGACACCCCAGGGTGGGCGGCGGCAGCAGGAGGGGCCGGAGAACATCCAGCTGTTCCCTTTTCTCCACCGCTAATCCCGCGGATTCCAGGAGAAAGGCCAGCCTGGCTTGATCATCTTCCCAGCAAATACCGCCTCCTTGCCATGCCCGGGTTATGAGGCTTAGGGGGATCAGAGCCCGGGTGAGCTGCCTGAAACCCAAGCCTGCCAGCTCAGCCCACCAGGCCCAGACCCCCATGACTGTGCAGGACCCGCCTGGGGCGGCTGGGTGGACAGTGGCAGAGTGAGCAGGTGCAGGTGAAGTTAGCAGAGTAACAGCACGACAGGAGCCCCAGCAGAGCATCTTCAGGGACCGATGGGGTGTGTTGGGGTCTGAGCCTCTCTGGATCCTACCCACCCTTTCAAGTCCCGGCTGCACTGCTCACCTGTATGACTGAGCTGGTTACTTCACTCTTCCACACCTTCATTTCCTCGTCTCTGAAATGAATATGATAACAGCATCAGCTTCACGAAATGGATCTTAGCATTAAAGGAATGGCTCAGAGGAAGCACCTGCTTTGGCGCCAGCTTCATGGTCCCACCCCCTCGCAGGGCATGGCGGAGCACACCAGGGGCATTGGATCCAAGCTCGTTTCATGGAAGAGAGGTGGCCCCCTTTGTGGACCTCAGTGCCCCCAGTGCAAGGCCAAGCTCCCAGGCTGGGCTCCTAAGGCCTGCAGGTTTGGTCCTCAGACAGTCCCCTTCCTCTCTCTGGCCCTGAATCCTCCAAGTGGGGTCTGCAAACCAACAGCATCCATTTCACCAGGTAGCCTTTGGGAAATGCAGCTTCTCAGGCCCCAGACCTGAGGGGAAGGGGCCCCAGGGCTTCTGTGCCAAGGGCCCTGTGCCTGCTGAGTCTGAGAATTGGAGAGGAGGGGTGGCGGAATGTGCTAGGAGGAGTGTGAGCAGAACACCCCTGGCCTGGCTTGGCGCTTGACCCCTTCACCCTGGGGCCAGGAGCCCCAAACCACACCTCCCCAGCCTGCAGATGGCACCTCCTGAGCCAAGCTAGCACCCACTGAGAAGTCAAGCTTCCGCCATTCAAGCCCCCAGAAGGCAGGGAGCCTGTTGTCTCCTGAAGCCAGCACCCAGTGTGGTGCTGGCATCACAGCCAGCCCAGACCTGCAGGACTCTAACCCCTGTGGTTCCTGCCTGTTCACAGCTCCCTGAGCCACAGGAGGAGCCTGTGGACAGGGGTATAAACTGAAGCTGAGAGGTTTAAAGCCCTTCCCAGAGTCCTGCATGGCGGAGCAGAGGCGACTCAGCCCTGCTGGACTCCGCCCTGCGAGCTGGGGGTGTGGCCTAGCCAGAGGCATGGCCCGGCAGGAGGACCCCGCCCCACGAGTGCAAGCAGCCTCACTTCCCCTTTCCCCTGGCTCTCCCTGCCTTGCTTGCTTGTACCCATTGGTGACAGACCTGAGATGCCTGCAGGATTCCGGCTTCCTCTTGCTCGTGGCAGCCTCACCCTGCGGACCCTGGAGGCAGGGCCAGGGGATACCTCTGGGCTTCTTAGGGCATCCTGTGACCTGCACTGCCCCTGCACCCATCGCACACACACACATATACTCAGCCATGCAGATTGGCTTAAAAGGATCAGGGCCAGGGACTGCTTCCAGGAACCTGTACAAAGGGTGCAGGGCCCAGGGCCCAGAAGGGACTTCCTTAGCTGCTGGCCAGGGATGCTGACCACCAGGCCCTGCAGAGGAGATCACCTCAAAAATCCAGGATAGAGCACCTGTGCCCTTGCACAGTGCTTGGGGCAGGGATGGCACATGTGGGTCCAGGCCTAAGGGAAACAGGATGCTCGCTGAGGCAGGAAGCCCTGAATGGCCCCACAAGCTATGTGACCCTGAGGAAGTCACCATGCCCCCCTGAGCCCCCACTTCCTCTTCTGCAAAGTGTAGCTCCAGGCCCCTCACCCCTCCCTCCTGCAGAAAGGATCAGATGTCGCAGGCCAGCTGCTCTGCGCACGGTAGCCAGTGATATGGTGAGCTGTCCACGTGCCAGCCACCACCCTGAACACTTGGCCCAATTCCTGACCCTAAGAGTACAACTGCCCTGACTGGAGTCGCAGCTTAGGTAGCCACAGAGATCCACCAGGGGTGATGGTACCCCCTATGCTGCTGCTGCTCTGTCTGCTGGGTCTGGGGACAGGTATCCATGGCTCTGGGGGTGGGGGATGTCCTGAGAAGAGTCAGGGCCTGCTTGGATACACACCGGCCCCCAGGCTGCCCCATCGCCCAGCTGGGACCTTTAACAGCGTGACGGGCAGGGACCATCCGGCTGCAAGGCTCTTCCAGCCTGGGTCATGGCTCTAAGAAGACCAGGTCCGGAGAGGGTACAGCCTACCCAAGGTCACACGGCAGTGTCTGCAGCAGAGAAGACAGTGTCAGGGCAGGAAACGTGCTGAGTGAGCGGCCCACCGGTGCTGGCCCCATCATTTCAGACTCTTGCAGAGCCCGTCTGGGCGAGGGGAAGTCACACTGCCTGACACAGAATACCTGCTTGTCACCTGCCCGGGAGCCAGGAGGAGCCATGGGAGATGTCCCCTTCATTGCTTCCCAGGGCCATGCAGGCCTGGGAAGCCTCACCATAGGACAGGCAAGACCAGCAGCTCCTCCCTGCTCTGCTGTGGAGCTCAGAAGACGTGGGTTCAAATCCCAGCCCCCACTACTGTGATCTCAGGAGCCAGCAGGTCAATTCCACTTGCTCGTGTAAAGGGCTCAGAGCCGTGAGCTGACATGCAGTAGGTAGTTTGTGCACATGTGTTCCCGCTGAGAAAGACAGAAAGCAGACTGGGTGCATGCTGAACTAAGGTGTCGAAAAGGCCACGTGCTGTGAACTTGAACTCCCAGGCAGCTCCCGGTTTCTCCTGAACTGGGGACATGGGCTGAATTATTTCCCAAAGTCCTTCTAGCCTTCTTGTCTCTGTGTAACCTCTTCTTGATAGCACAAACAGTTCCTATAGCCAAGGACGGGGGAGACAAATTGGCTGGTTCTATTGAGATGACGTTCCCGTGAATACAGTGGCTTTTAAAATATTTACGGTATTCTGCGCCCACCACCCCCACAGAGTTCCAAAATGTTCCCATCATCCCAAAGAACATTCCAGACCCCATGTTCCCCATTATTCCTTCTCCAGTCCCCTCAAACCACCACTCTCTGTCTCTGAATAATTCATGGAAGCAGAAGCATCCAGTGGACCGTCTCTGTGTCTGCCGTCTGCCTGGCTGCTCCATGAGGGTTCACCCACCTCACAGCAGGGATCGGGACCCTGCTGCTGCTTTTCATGACTGTGTGATATTCCACCTGCTCTGTGTTCCTGTGGGTAGCCATTTGCCTCATCTTCCCCTGTTGACTGCCAGGAGTAGTGCTGCTGCAGATGGCCCTGAAGCAGCTCTGTTGAGGAACCTGTCTGCCATGGGGAGCACCAACAGCTCCCCACCAACTGCAGCTTTTGTCATTTTCAATGCTACCATAAGGCACACTCAGAAGAGGTCACTAGACAATCCAAACCTCTCTCTGGCAGCAAGGCCAGCTCCCTGCAACCCCACGGACACTCCACCGTGTGCTGCATGGCTGAGCTGTGTGCTGGGTTAGGCAACTGGGGGCATTTCAACAGATGCGTTCTCACCTTGCACTTGATTTCTTGGGGTGGAGCCCAGACAGAAGCCCAGGACTGGCCGCATGGACTTCAGAGAGTGGAATCGCTCCAGTAAATGCGCAGATGTTTTGGGGCAGGGATCAGTTTTATTCAGTAGTAGAATCTCCAGCACAGAGTAGGTGCTCGGTGCCAATCTTGAATAAATGCATCTCATACCTTCTCCACCTCCATGATCACCCCTCTGCTGCCCTTTCCCAGGGGTGCTGGCCCCGTGTCCACAGTCTGTGTGTCCCCACCCGGCCGACCAGAAATCCAAAGGCAGAATGAGCAGCACCCAGTCCACTGTATCCGCAGCCAGGATGAGGGGATGCCCAGGGCACCTCTGCACTTTCTGTGGCTTGAGCTGCCCCAGGAAGGGCAAGGTTGTCGGTGTCGGCAAGATGACCCAGAAAAGTTCAGTGGTTGTACTCACAGCCCCACGAGAGCCCTTGTGTCCCCCACTGCCACCCCTGTCTGCTCATCTGGGCTGGCTGCGTGGCCTGGACCACATGCCTGGGCACTCTGGTCCCACGATTCCCTTGTGACCTGCAGCTGTACCCCCACATGCCTGACCCTGACCTCTGTCCTCTCTTACAGCTCCATCGGCCGTGTCCATCATGCACCAGGTGAGCCGTACTGTGGACAGTATTACCCTGTCTTGGTCCCAGCCAGACCAGCCCAACGGTGTGATCCTGGACTATGAGCTGCAGTATTATGAGAAGGTACCTGTCCCCACCTACTTCCCTGGGGCTCCTCTCACAGGCCCGAGCTTGGCAGATCCACAAGCCCTGGGCCTTGTGCAGCAGGAGGAGCCCTGGCCACCGTGGTCACCTGATGCCTGCTCTGGCTCCGCTGCTGCCAGTTGTGAAGCCTGGAGTGTGTGCCTGGGTCTCTCTGAGAGAGCTCCCACCTGCTGGCTGAGCCTGGGCCAGGCCAAAGCCTGCAGACAGAAGCTCCATCCAGGTCTCCCCTGTGACTGGCAGGAACCTGGTGATGTGAGCTGTCACGCTGCCCCTCAAGGTGTGCGTTGGCAGGAAGCTGGAGTGGAAGTGGCTGCTCCAAGCGGGAGTGTGAGCGTCTTCACCTCTGAATGTCTTCCCCAAAGAAACCGCTCCACTGGGTCCATGAGAGTTAGTGGGAGGGGCAGGGTGCTGCCACACTGTGCTTTGTCCTCAACAGAGGCCGGGCACATCCCTGTCCTGTGCTGACCCTGCCTGCTGCACAGTGGGCCAGGACAGCATAGTGTGAGGTCCAGAGCGTGCAGAACCACACAGAGATACACAGCATGGGTCCAGGAGGGCACACGGGGGATGACCATCCTCTGAGCTGCGCACTGTGGCCTCAGAAATCCCTCTGATGGGTGACTTCTGAAAAACATTGTTACTGATCAATTTCCATTTCATTTGAAAGGCAAGGAGATTCATCTGGGTCTTTCTTTTTTTTTTTTTTTAAAGATTTATTTTTATTATTTTTTCATTGGAAAGGCGGATATACAGAGAGGAGAGACAGAGAGGAAGATCTTCCATCCGATGATTCACTCCCCAAGTGAGCGCAACGGCCGATACTATGCCGATCCGAAGCCAGGAGCCTCTTCCGGGTCTCCCATGCGGGTGCAGGTTCCCAAAGCTTTGGGCCGTCCTCGACTGCTTTCCCAGGCCACAGGCAGGGAGCTGGAAGGGAAGCGGGGCTGCCGGGATTAGAACCGGCGCCCATATGGGATCCTAGGCGTGCAAGGCGAGGACCTTAACCACTTGCGCCACTGCGCCGGGCCCTTTTTTTTTTTTTAACATTTATTTATTTTTATTGCAAAGTCAGAGAGACAGAGAGGAAGATCTTCTGTCCGATGATTCGCTCCCCAAGTTACCGCAATGGCCGGTGCTGCGCTGATCCAAAGCCAGGAGCCAGGAGCTCTTCCAGATCTCCACATGGGTGCAGGGTCCCAAGGCTTTGGGCTGTCCTGGACTGCTTTCCCAGGCCACAAGCAGGGAGCTGGACGGGAAGTAGGGCTGCTGGGATTAGAACCGGTATCCATATGGGATTCCGGGCGCATTCAAAGCGAAGACTTTAGCTGCTAGGCCTCGGCGCCAGGCCCCCATCCGGGTCTTTCACATGGGTGGCAGGTGCCCAAGTTCTTGAACTAGCCTGTGCATCCCAGGATGCATATATCAGATGTAGAACAGCCAGACTTGAACCAGGCACCTCCACGGGGGTTGCCGGCAGCCCGAGAGGCAGCCTAAGCACTGGCTCACACACCTGGCCCCTTGACAGATAAATTCTTGCCCACACCTGAGGCATCGTTTGCAAGGTGTCACCGGGCTTCCTTTAAACCAAAGTGTAAGTGACTGACGGGAAGGAAATCCCGTGAGGGCACACCTCCTGGGAACCGGAAGTGGTTGGAAAAGCTCTCCCTATTGGCAGAGGAACCTGGGGAGAGGGTTCCAGGTTCCTGAGACTGACTGGACCCCTGCGCCCCAGGAACAGCTGGTTATGGGGTACCGCACTTTGGTGATACTCAGACTCGTCACACACCAGCCCGGCCTGACCTGGTTCACCCTCTAAGTGTGCTACAGTGCCAGAGGTCAGGGTTCACATTTCTCCATCCGCCCCTCTCCCTTCTTCCCAGCCCCCTGCGCCTGGCACTGAGCAGTTGCTTGGTAAGCCAAGACTGAGTAAGTCAGTGAACGGATCCCTTCCCAGGGCCCAGCCATGCGGACCTCCCCGCAGAGGCTCCAGGCACCCGCCAGTCTTGGGACTGCCCCCTCCTTGCTGCCCATGCATGCATGCCGCCACCCCCTCCTCATCTGTGAGGTCCCAATCTGTGGGGTCCCAGACAGATGTCACTTGCTCCAGGGGCGGGGGAGGAGTGGGATGTCTTCTCCCCGTGAACTCTGCCCATCTCTAAAAACACAGAGAACTGGTGTCAGGTGCCTGTGTCTTCCCCCGACTAAGCCCTAGCTCAGCTCAGCCCCAAGCTGGGAACAGCCAGCGTGGGAATGAAGGAGTGAAGGTGGGGTCTGGCTGGCCAGCGACTGGACTCCTCCCCACCCCCACCTCTGCCTCCATCTAGGCAGCTCCAATTCATCTGTGCCCGGGATCAGGCTTTGGCCTGGTGCTAAAGACACCGATCGAGGTGCCCAAGTCCCTCAACCAAAGGCCTGGGTTCAGTCCCTGGCCCCTGACTCCAGCTGCCTGCTAATGCAGACCCGAGAAGGTAGCAATATACCCACCCACACAGAAGACCTGGACTGGGCTCTTAACGTCACCCTCCAGCCCAGCCCAGCCCAGGACCAGGACCACAGCAGGCAGTCTGGCAGTGAATGAAGGATCCCTAATTGATTAATTAATTAAAAATCACAGATTGGGACCAGTGCTATGACGCCAGCAGCCCATAGCAGATTGCCGGTTCTAACGCTCTACCTCAAGCCCAATTTCTTGCTAATATGCCTGGGAAAGCAGCAGTTGATGAGCTCATCCTCGGGCCTCTGCCATCCTTGTGGGTGACCTGATTATGGGGGTTCCTCTTGGCTCTGGCCCGGGTTATTGCAGCCATTTGGAGGTTGAGCTAGTAGATACAAAACCTCTCTCACTCTCTCATTCACGCTGCCTTTCAAATAAATAACTAGATCTGGACAAAAAAAATCACAGCTTAAACATCACCTACTCAGAGAAGCCCTCCCTCACTGCCTTGACCAGGGCAGGCAACCTTTCTCCCACCTGGCACCCCCTGGCACTGCTGTGAATGGGGGTACTCGCTCCTTCCATTCTGAGCTCCATGGGGGGAGCCTTGCCACTGTCTTCACTGTGGCCCTGGTGCCCAGCACACAGCAGGGGCTTGAGCAGCATGTGCTGGGTGACTCAAGGAAGTACACCCAGCCATGCGGGCCAGCACAGTGTGTGATGTGCAGGCAGTGGCCCTGCCCTCACTGGGCATCCTGGTAGGAGCCAGTGGTTCCAGTTCAAGATGCCCCAGGCCCTGCCAGAGCCAGCATTCCCACTCTAGCCAGCAGACAGAGCCTCAGCAATTCAGAATTCAAAAAAGGAAAAAAGAAGAAAAAAAAAAAAAAACCTAATTAAGAAGCTTTGTGATTAAGTGAACCCGAATGCGTTTGTCCCTAAAGACGGGAGCGGAAATGAGGAATCCCGATGCGCGTTCTGCCTGCGACCCATTTCCTGCCACAGCTGGCAGGCCTGGGAGACTGCTGGGGGTGTGAACCAGAACACGGCTCTGGCCTACTTTCCACCGCAGCCGGAGCATCTCCGGGCCCCTACGCAGGGGGCCTGGACCAGCAGGTTCTACGGCAGCTGGGTGACCACCAACTCACAGGTCCTGGGTGCTCATGATGCGCTAAGCGCAGGGTCCTCCCTGCTCTCACTCATAACTGAATGGGAGGGAGAACTAAGGCACAGAAAAACATGTGACTTGTCCAGTGGCACTCGGGGCCTGGCGGCCAGGCAGGGATGTGGCCTCGTGCCTGGGCCCCCTGCCTCCCAGTTGTTTCCCAGAGCTACTTCCGAGACAACTGTCAGGAGGTGGTGAAACCAGGAGCTTAGGCACAGACAACAAGAGAGATAGGGTGGCGGGGACAGCAGCCGGGGGTCTGGCTGCCGGGAGAAGGGACCCTACAGGGCCTTCTACCAGGCCCTGGGCTACAGAGAGGGGACCACGTGACAGCTGCTCATGGGGTCATTGGACTTTTGCTGTCACCAGCTTTGGCCTGGGCCCAGAGACAGAATAAGTAGCCAGAGAAGCAGATTCGATACCAGCCAAGAGAAGGGCCAGTAAGCCCTTCTACCTCCACCCCCCAGGGCATCCAAGAGAAATCCTTGGTCCTGGCAGAGGGGAGGGGCAGCCTGCTCTGGGTGACATTTGAGCCAAGCCTTGAAAGACGGAAGGAGTTCATAGGCCAGACACATGATGAGAGCAAAGTCATCCCGGGCAGCAGGAGCAGCATGCTCAAAGGCCCTGGGGCAGCAACATGCCGGCCACATTCTGGATGCAGGCAGGCAGAAGGGAGCATGGCAGGAGCAGCGCAAGTGAGAGGGAGACCTCCAGGGGAGGATGCTCCTCCAGGGGCGGAGCCGGGGCCAGTGGTGGTAGGCCTCTGGGGAGGCTGGGTGTGATTTCAAGCGTAATGAGAAGGTTCTGGTCTGATGCGAGCTGACTCGGATCACCGTAGCTTGCTGTGTGTTGTCAGGGGTGGCAGAGGGGCCTGGAAACACGGGGGAGACCTTACACAAGGCTTCCGTGGGATAATCAAGAAACGGCAATGGTGGCTGGATGGGGAGGCTTGGTGACAGTAATGGTGTGAAGCTGACAGGTGCAGACAAGATTGTCAACCCCTGGGTTGGGACCAGGAACCCACTATGGCTGGTTCCGGGCGTGGAGGTGCCTTCCCCCAGGACAGATGTGGAGCTGGCTGGGACCAGAGGCCAGTCGGGGTATGAGCTCTTAGAAGAGATGGGAGAGTGTACTGAGGGACAGCTGGCCAGACTGGCACAGTCCAACGGAGCGTGTGCCCAGGGCCAAGGAGAGCACAGCAGGGGAGTCGGCCCGCGGGCCACGGGGTGGGGATGGCAGTGGAAGGGCAGAAGGCACAGGTGAGGCTTCTGTCGCCACGCTCCATGCGCAGTCACTGCCTCTGCCTCTGGGGAGAGACATCCTGCTTGAGAGCAGCTCCACATCTGCCGAGTCTAGAGCCGGCCCCTGCCCAGCACCTGGAATCCCCCCCGCTGCCCGCTGTAGGGTCCCTTCCTGAATGTTCTGTGTGGTCCTGAAGAGACCCTCCACCTCCAGTGGGCACCATGTTTGGCCTCTGGCCCCAGCTCCTAGGGGATCTCCCCACCTGCCTGGAGCTGACAGCCATTCTGCCAGCAGCCTCTGAGTGATAACCCCGGCGCTGGAGGTTTCCATCTCTTCCGGTGTCCTTGGGGAGGTGGTCTGTTTGGCAGCTGTCCCCAGACTCACTGGAGCAGGCTGTGCTCAGCTCCCTGGAGCTCCAGGAGGGGGTTGTCCCTGTGGGTCCTTATGGGCCACAGGAATTTTCATGTTTTCTTAAAGATGTATCTACTTATTTGAAAAAGAACTTTTTCATCTTCTGGTTCACTCTACAAATAATTGCAACAGCCAGAGCTCAGCCAGGCTGAAGCCAGGAGCCAGGATCTCTATCTGGGTCTCCTGCTTACGTAGCTGGAGTCCAAACCCTTGGACCATCCTCTGCTGCTTTCCCAGGTGCAACAGCAGGGAGCTGGATGGGAAGTGGAGCACCTGGGACTGGAACCAGGACTCATATGGGACGCCAGCATGGCAGGTGGTGTCTGAACCTGCTGTGCCACAACACCAATCCTGGATTTCAATGTTTATGCAGTAAAAACATCCAGGAAACAAACATGAGTAAAAGCACCTGCTGGCAGGAGCGGCTGGAAACAAGCAAGGCAGGGGTTGCCCTCGTGCCTCGTGTGGCCTGGAGAGGGCCAGTGTGTAGATGTGCCCATCTCTTAAACCGTGGGAAGACTTCCTGCGTGCTGAGGGACCACAGCACGTCATCCATGCGTGAAGTTCTCACGTGTGCTAGAGGCCAGACTCAGAAGCCTAACCCAGACCTTCTTGTTGAATTTTTACAACCATCCTCTGGGTGTGAACCCATTAGAGAGGAGGAAACTGAAATTCAGCGGGTTTAGGATGCTCACCCCATGCATGCCTCGCCACCTCTGGTTCCCAGGCTGGAGCCTGCAACTAGGAGCTAGCACATTTCACACAGCATTCCTTCCCAGCACCTACTGGTGTCACTCCCTGATCACACCCAGGCACTTCAGAGAGATGAGACAGCATCCCCCATGTGCAAGGTACTACCGGATCCAATTTTGCCTTCCCCAGCAGCCCAAGGCCACAAAGCCACTCAGCTGGGATTTGAAGCAGTTTCCCAATCCTGGGCTCTATCTCGTGCTCGGCTTCAGGGGACGACGGGTCTGCTCGGGTTGGTTCCTCCTGAGACGCCCGCAGCTACCTCTCCGGTGCTGGAGAACTTGACACCTCCAGCATCTCTAAGGGGGCACCCACCCTGCCTGTATCACCCAACCCCTTTTTGCAAGCCTGAGCAGATGCCATGTTGGACAGCGGCACCAAGTGGCTATGTCTGGTACCGCAGCTCTGCGTGTGTGGATTGCTTTAATATTCACTCATTGATTATTGTTAGTAGTAAGCACCTACTATGTGCTCAGTGCCAGCAGCCACTAGAGAAGACAGACATGTATATCAGAGCAGTCAGTGGGAGAGGGGTTAGGGATGCTAGATCTGGTAGGCTTCTCAGGGAAGAAAGAAGCAGTTGGGAACAGCCAGAGCCTAAGAGGACCCTGGGGATGTGACAAGATCCATTGGCCGAGACAGCTCTGAAGGGTCTGGAATGCCAGTCAAGAAGTCGACCTTCCCCCGTGGGTGCTGGGAAAGGACTCTGTCACAGGACCTTGAGCCTGGGGCAAGAGACGAAGCACAGCACCATGCCCCCTTCGCCATGAGCCCAGGACAAAGGAGCGAGACAGGAACCCTGTACTCCAGCACTAACAGCAGGTGTTTGGGCCCCAGAGAACAGAGTTGTGTCCAGCGGAGGAGGGGATGGAGAATGGGCGGAGATGTCCCCTCTTTCCTGGAAGAGAGGACAGGAAGGGGCCTTCCTATCTTCCGGTGCCCTATCCCTCCCATGAGCCATCCCTGCCTCCCCCCGCTGTGACCCAGAGACAGGCTCCCTGCTCTAGCCCCCATGGCCCAAGTACGTTTGCTTCTCCTTGCACCAAGCCAGGAATGCCTTGGGTGACTCCTGTTTGTTCTTTAAGGTTCCACTCCAGTCCTTCTCCCCATTCCAGCCCCCCGCCAGCCCTCACTTTTTAGGGGACATCCCTCCACCTCTCTTGCCAGCCCCCCAGCCACGCAAAAGAGTGGCTTTGAGTCTTCAGCTGCTGCCACCACCTGCTACTGTGGCCTTGAATGTCATTTGCCGTTTCTGGGCTTTCCTCTGCTCTTACCCAGATGTGCTGGACCAAGAAGGAATCCCTCCGTTTAGCCCAGCGAGCCTCTCCCTGCTCAGACACCAGCCCAGCCCCCAGGGTCTACGCACGAGCCACATGATGCATGAGCCACCATCGGTCCCCCTAAACCAGGGGCTGTTCCCCTTGCTCTGTGGGTTTATGATCGTGGGTCAGCTCATGGGGCCTTGTTCAGTCTGGGAAGGGGGCAAGGTCTCCTCCAGGTGTTTCAACACACGGACCACCTCAGCTTGCACTGCGTCTGGTGGTCAGAGCAAGTCCCGAGGCTAAATCCAACACCCTGGAGGCAGGGACTTGGGCTTCGTCCACTTTTATGGGCGGTGTTGCCAAGCCAAAAGCAAAAGGCATGAACGTGCCCCTTCTGTCCCGGGTAGGGCGGGAAGTGGCAGGAGGCGCAGGCGCGGATCAGACGGCCGGGATCCCTAACCGTGTTCTCTGTTCCTCGGCAGGAGCTCAGTGAGTTCAACGCCACAGCCATAAAAAGCCCCACCAACACGGTCACGGTGCAGAGCCTCAAAGCCGGCGCCATCTATGTCTTCCAGGTGCGGGCTCGCACCGTGGCAGGCTATGGGCGCTACAGCGGCAAGATGTACTTCCAGACCATGACGGAAGGTGAGCTGGGGCGAGGGGCGAGGGCAGGCTTTGCATCGCCTTGGAGAGCAGAAGCGTTCTCATTTCCTGTCTAAGTGCAGCGGGCAGAAGCCTCACGGCGATGGATTACTTTTGTCTGCCCCAGGCGGGGACATGGCAGGCTGTGTGGCCTGAGGGTGATGTGTGTTTTCTGCATCTGGGACTCCAGGTCTTAAAGCATCATTCCCGCTCTAATCAGTACAGTGTAAGCCGGGTGAGATGAGGTGCCAGGCAAACAGGGGTTCTGATGTGGATTCAGCGTCCTGAGACAGTAAACAAGTCACTTCACTTCTGACCCTCAGTTTTCTTGTCTAGAAATGGGGTGATAACCACCGTGCCATCCTCATCCTCCTCGTTAGGCGTCAGGCTGAGGGTCCTGCTCGGGGCTGGCACCGGGTCCCTTGCACAGCTAGCTGTCACCAGCTGCCATTGCCATGAGCCTCAACGTTCCAGCAGCCAGCCAGCCAGCCAGGCCCCGGGGGGGGGGGGTGGGCTTTGGCACCCCGACTCCAGAGCCCTTCCCAGTGTCTGGGCCTTTGTCCAGCTGAACATTTCCACGATGCCCGGAACCTCACATCGTTATCTTCCCGCAGAGCCTCATCTGAGGGCTCCCCCCATCTCCTAGATCACCCACCTCCTCCAGGAGGTCCCCCTTCTTTCTTCAGCACCCAGGTCTCTTTCCTGGAGGGCGGGGTGAGTGTCACTGACTGGGGCCTGGGCAACTTGATCCTTTGCTTATTTCTTTACCCAGTATACGTTGAAGGGCCCTGCCTGTGCTGGGCCACTTGTCGGTACTGAGGACCCAGCGCCGGCCTCGTCCCTGCCTCTTATGCTCCTGTTCTTGTTGGGGAGGGATGTGACAATTTCAAGTTCAAGGCATTCAGAAGGAACCTGGTGCTTTCTCAGCCAGGCCAATACGGAGTGCACCTGGGCACTCCGAGTCCCTGGCCTTGGGCCAGGCGGCCCTGGGCTCCCTGCTGGACTCTGACACCAGGCCAAGCCTGGCCTCCCCACGCATAGAATCACACGTGGGTAGTCACGGGAAGTCTGTCGCAGGTCTAATACAACACTCAAACAGAACAGGTGACACACAAAAGGGGGAGGCCACCAAGTCACTGGTAGAAAGTGGAATTAAAACGAGAAATTCATTACGGTCCCTTCCCCCTGTAGTCCAAGTCCACACGTTGTTTCTATCATGCCCGACGTTTCCACATAGTTCCTCAAGACTCCCATATGTGTGGATTCAAAATATTTTGCACCAAAACAAACATCTTTAAGATTTGTTTATTTATTTGAAGAGACAAACACGTGTGTGTACGCGTGCACACACACACAATCTTCCATCTGCTGCTTTACCACCCCCACCCTCTCTCTCTCTCTCTCTCTCTCTCTCTCACACACACACACACACACACACACACACACACACACAGAGCTAATGTGGCCCAGGCTGGTCCAGGCCAAAACTAGGAGCCTGGAACTCCACCTCCCACAGAGGTGGCCAGGGTTAAGCATTTAAGACCTTCTTCAGACACGTTAGCAGGGAACTCGGGTCCTGAGGACTTTATGCAGCAGCTGGTCGGGCTGGGAGCTACTGTTATCCCTTTTCACAGCTGGGAAAAGCAAGGCACTGAAACCTAATAACTGAGTTTCACCCTGACAGTAAGTGGTCCCTTTGGGGTTCAAACCCAGGGAGTCTCCCTCCCCCGCAGACTCTGACCTCTCTCCCCGTGAATCAGCCGTCCTTGTTGGGTTTCATGTCAATGTCGGGCTGCGGATACTATCATTCGTATTTTAAAGGTGACAAGTTGAGCTGGAACAGCTCACAGATGTGTCCCAGGTGACGTGTGTGGGTGACATGCATGGGACAGGTGCTCTGTCAGGAGCAGAGCCAGGGGGCATCCCAGGATACCAGCAGGATGGGGCAGGCTGAAGGAGGTCAGGGAGAGGTGACAGTGTCCACTGCGCTCTCTCCCCAAGCCGAATACCAAACAAGCATCCAGGAGAAGCTGCCCCTCATCATCGGGTCCTCGGCTGCCGGCCTGGTCTTCCTCATCGCCGTGGTTGTCATTGCCATTGTCTGCAACAGGTGCGTGGGGGGGCCCCCTGTCTGATGCCAGCCTGGCTGCCCAAGTCAGTGCTCCCCTGCCACCGCCTAAAGGCCACCATCAGCTGCCCCTCCTGTGGCTTGGACATCCAGGGGCTGGACCACTGCAGCCATTTGAACTATAGACGTGGTTGAGACGGCAGCATCCCAGGGCTGGGTGGCTGGTGGTTGGGAATGTGCAGTTGTACCACTTTCTGCACTTGTGCAGGAGCCCAACTGAGCTACTAGAGACGTGGGGGGCTCAGACAAGAAGAAGGGGAGATGGTGTCACCAGCAGCTAGCAAGGTGGGAGGGTGGGACCACTTCCCCGCCCCCATGAGCCTTAGGCGAGCAGAGGCTCCTCTTTAAAGAGGTCCCCACTGTGTAGGATAGGCTGGACCCCGGGCCAGGGGCCACAGCTGGAAGATGACGCTGCACCTGGAAGGGGCTTAGCTAGAGAGGGGCTGGGAAGAAAGAGCCTGCATTTGAGGTGGGATGGGGGTGTAGGGACCAAAGCTGGGCATGCAGGGAGGCCTCTGGAAAGGCCTGCCCACCCTCTGCCTGTCACCTACTGTGGCTCCCAGCTCCCTGGGCACCTGCAGATGGCTCCAGCCCTTTGCTCTTGTTCCAGAAGACGGGGGTTTGAACGTGCCGACTCGGAGTACACGGACAAGCTGCAGCACTACACCAGTGGCCACAGTATGTACTCGCTCCACAGGAGGTCTTTTCCACCTGCCATGGAATGGCCATGCCATCCTCCTGGCCTTGGCACCTGCTGGCTCTTCTGCCTGGAGTCCCCATCCACCCCCACCCCTCATGCCTCCCCTGCCTTTCCCTGGGCCCCATCAGCGATACACCACCTGCCTGCCCCTGCCCCTGCCCCTGCCCCTGGGGTTCCGGGCCTTGTCTGTGCCCGCGTTTGCTGTACTGTGGGGGACAGTAGCTTCCATCTTCCCCCAGCCACCTGGCTAGGACCCAAACAGACACAAGCCATGCCTGCCACGATCCTCTGTATGCCCAGCCCCCAGGGCACCCAGCATGGAGGAAGTACAGGTGCATGGTGCAGAATACACCAGTGATGAGGGAATTGAGAGTCTGAGTGAGATGACAGGGACCCCAGGCTCTGGCCCAGGGAGGCCCCTTCCTCCCCACAGCTCTCCCAGCATATGGCAGATCCCCAATGGGATCCAGTGGCCTGACTGGGGTCCCATCTTCCCCACCGTCCCATCTCACATCGGGCCAGGCTGACAGTGTCTGTGCCACCCTCTCTTGATGCCAAACTGCCACAGGCCCAGTTTCCACACATACCAGTGGATACTGTGGCCTAGTCGGGGTCACTCCCAATAATCCCCATCAGGCCCTAAAGCGAGATGATCTTTGTAGGCCAGAGCCAGTTGGGTGGCCCGGTGATAGTGTGTACCTGGTAGGGTAGTTAGCTGAAGGAAATGGATCAAGAACTCAGCAATGTCCCTCAGACAAGGGAAGGTGCATCCTGGGTGTTTATTGAACATCTACTACAAGCCATTTCACATATGTGGTCCACAGCCAACAGTCTAACAGTAAAGGCCCCTAGAGTTAGTTGGCAGCACCCCAAAATTATACATGCACTAGAGAGGGGCACACACACATAAGGGAATGATTTCCAAGAAGCAGAGTCCTGGCTTTTGTCAAATTCTTTTTTTAAGGTTTATTTATTCATATTGGAAAGGCAGATTTACAGAGAGAAGGAGAGACATAGAGAAGGTCTTCTGTCCACTGGTTCACTCCCCAAGTGACCGCAATGGCCAGAGCTGAGCTGATCTGAAGCCAGGAGCCAGGGGCGTCATCTGGGTCTCCCACACAGGTGCAGGATCCCAGGGCTTTGGGATCCGGGTGCTTTCCCAGGCCACAAGCAGGGAGCTTGGTTTGATGTGGAGCAGTTGGAATGCAAATCAGCACCCATAAGAGACCCCGGGGCATTCAAGGCAAGGATTTGGCCACTGAGCCATTGCACTGGGCCCTACTGTCAAATGTTCAGGGCATTCATGACTCCAAGTGGGAAAGGAAAGGAGGTGCATGAGTGGGTAATGGCAGCAGCCACTCAACTGGTACCTGTCGAGCACCCACTGTGTCCCCGGCATTGGATATTAGCTATGTGAACAAAACAGACATGGCCTCTGACCTCAGGGCAAGAAGGTAAAGCCAGCTCCCACAAGTGACAGAATGTTCCAGAAAGAGGGGGAAGAATAATGTGCACCGTCATGCCTGGGAACCCTGGTACCTGTTAAGGAAAGCCACCAGACACCAGAGCCATGGAATGGGTGTAGAGACAGGGTTGCAGGGTCCAGGAGGAGGTGCTGCTCTCCCATGGGGGGCACAGGCAGGTTTCACAGAGGAGGAGAAGCAGTGGGCATGGGCCCAGCCAGCTCCAAGTGCCCGGGTTTCATTCCTGGCCCTGGCCCCTCGTGGTTGCACCTCCCTTCCCCTGCAGAGCCTGGGAGGTAGAAGGGGCTGATGGCTCCAGTGGTCACATCCCTGCCACCGTGTGGGGCATCCCTGGCGTTGGCCTGGCTCAGCCCCAGCTACCATGGACTAAAAGAATGAACCAGTCAGTAGGAATACGCTCAGTCTCTCGTTCTGCCTCCCAGATTTACATTCAGCAGTTGGTGGTAAAGCAGAGGGTGTGTCACAGGGGGAGAGAGGGAAGAAAGTCATGGCTGAATTCCCAGGAGGAGGAGCAGCCAGCTCCTGGTTAGGCATCACACAGGAGACCACGCATATGGGAGCTAGGAGGACTGGTCCTGGGTTCAGGTCCTGACTGGGCCGGTTGCTGGCTGTGTGGCTTGGGCCAGATAACTTAGCCTCTCTGAGCAGCTGTTTCCCCATGTGTGAAATGGGGATTATGGGCCTTTCCTCCAAGTTACTGGAAGGAAGCTACAGGATGCTGCATTTCGGGGACCTGGCATGGTGTGGGACACAAACAGGGCTGGAGTGACAGGTGCTGTCATCGGTCTGTCTGGACGCAGCTCCACAGACACGGAGCGTCTGCTGTGGGCCCTCTGCTCCCTCTGCTCCAGGCGCTCGCCGTCTCGGCTGGAGCTTCTCAGCCCCTCTGGGGGTCCCAGACCCCCACAAGGTGGCTCGTGGGCTCTGATCACATGCCCACCTCAAGTGTGCACTGCACAATAAAGGAAAACCTTACTTAGGGGCAGATTTTATCTTTGACAGTGTTTATTCCCATAATTGTTGGCCTTGATAAGGAGCATGAACTCTTTTTAAAAGAACAACAGCGCCTTCTGTCTCGGGGCTCACCAAGCCTGCCTCCCGGACCCCAAGGGCCACACAGACACCCACGTGATAGACCCCACCCAGTCACAGGTGGCCAGCTTTCCTTTCTCAAACATTTATTTCCTTTTACTTTTTGAAAGAGTGACAGAGAAAGATGGAGATTTTCCATTCCCAAATGTCCACAAAACCCCAGAGCCAGGAGAGCAGAACTCAGCCTGGGTCTCCCTCCTGGGCCTGGGTCTCCCTCCTGGGTGACAGGGACTCAAGGACTTAGCCATTATCTTCTGCCTCCTCCCAGGATGCACAGTAGCCAGAGCTGAGCCAGGGACCAAGCCAGAACTTGAAGCAGGCACTTGGCAAGTGGTGTCCATAGCACTGGACAGTCCCCAGGGTCATTTCATGTCCTAAGATCAGATGGTCTAAACATAAGCTTTCAGACCCAGGGTGGTGATTTTGTAATGAGTAAGAGATTCAATCCCCCATTCACTGCTCAAATGTGCACAACATGAGGCTTGGCCGGGCCAAAACCAGGAGCTGTTCTCCCCCTCCGTGGGTGGCAGGGACCCAAGTCCTGAGCCATCACCCGCTGCCTTCCAGGGTGCACATCCCCAGGAAGCTGGACTGGAAGCAGAGGTGAACTTCGTCAGTATGGGATGTGCGTGTCCCAAGCAGCGGCTTCCATGCTGTGCCACATGCCACCCTGACAGTATTTACTGTAGGCTTTGTGGAGCACTCGCCTCTGCTACAGCTGCTCAGCTCTGCTGCCTTACAGCACGACAGTAGCCACAGGCACAGGGGTGAGCATGGCTGTGTTCCCTGTGTTCCGATAAAACTTGATTTACAAAGCAAGCAGCAGACCAGTTAGAAGCTTCAACTGCTACATTGGAGCCCTCGGTGTATCCCCGGGCCTGAGGTCTTGGGTTGTCATGGCAACCTCCTCCCCTTGCTACAACATCAGAAACAGAGGCTGGGCATGGTCAACTTAACAGCTCCAAGGTCACACAGCTGAGCAAGGTTGCTGGCCTTACTCACCCATCGACCGAGTCTTAGAGAGACCCAGAAATTCCAGCTCCCAACTCCTAGGGCCACTCCTTCCCAGAGACGCAGCTCCTGAAGCAGTGGCTGATGTGAGCAGGGAGCTAGGGGAGCCCGAGTCAGGCCTGGGCTGGGAGGAGCCAGCAAATCCAGACAGCAGAAGGGTCAGTTACCTGGAAGGTGGCTGTGGGAAGATCAGCTGTCCCTCACTTCAGAGAATCCTTCTTGGTGATACATTTGAATTGGATTTTGGATGTCCTGGTCAGTTTTTTGTCTGTTGCTTCAAAGAATAGAGGTCTACAGCAGGTCGAGGATCGAATCCACGTGCCCAGTGTCTAGCCTCTCGCTGATCTGAGGAGGGAATCAGGATCCAGGAAGGTTTTGGCCTGGCTGCTGGGCCCAGGAGGGAGTCCCAGCAACTGTGGGTACTCAGACCTGGATGGGCTGGGCAGTTAGGAGGGGTTCCTGGGCAAGTGGTGGGGAGGAGGGGATCCTTGTAGTGGTTGCTTATTCTGTCTGTATTTTTTTTTTTAATTATATTTAAAAGCCAGGGAGGTCTTCTAGCCACTGGTTCACTCCCCAAACACCAGCAACCTACAGAGCTGTACCAGGCTGAAGCCAAGAGCCTGGAACTCGGTCTGATTCTCTCTTGTGGATGCCAGAGGCCCAAGTACTTGAGTGCCCTCCCAGGATATGCATGAGCGGAAAACCAGTTCAGAAGTGGAGCTTTGACTCAGAGCCAGGCACTCGCCTATGGAATATCGGGGTCCCAAACGGCAGCTTATCTACTGCTCCCCCTTTCTGTGTTGTTCCTTCTTCCTTTGGACCCCTGCTTCCTTGACTTGCACCCCTGATTCTCTGTCCTGAGGCCTGCAGCCTCCGTGTCCGTTGGTCCTTCCAGGCTCACACCCTTAATAGGCTTTGCCAGTCCATCCTGACATTCGAGCTACTCCAGCAAGCTACTCCCAATCAAAATCAGTATCCCCCTCTTCTGTCTGTGCCTCTCACCCTTCTGGCTCAGGGAGACTCAGGGAGGGGGAGGTTGCCCAGACACGGAGGCGTCTTTCCCTCCACGGAAGGACAGACTTCTGCTTCTCCGTGTGATTCAAGATGAGTTCGTCTGTGTGACCAGGCCTGGTCTTGTCCCCCAGTGACCCCGGGCATGAAGATCTACATTGACCCGTTCACGTACGAGGACCCCAACGAGGCAGTGCGGGAATTTGCCAAGGAAATCGACATCTCCTGTGTCAAAATCGAGCAAGTTATTGGAGCAGGTAGGTGGCTGCTACCCCACAAACCGCCACCGTGGGCAGGGAGATCACCCCAACGTGTATGTACTCTTGGGGCAAAGGGACAGAGGACCTTGCAAGACTTGGAGGTTCAGAATGCCCAAGGAGTAAGGGCCCTGTAAGTGGGTCATCTGCCAAAGCCACCTCACCAACCGAAAAAGGGGAAACTGAGGCATGGGGCTGGGAAGGAGCTTACACAGCAAGTCACTGAAAACCAATCCTTGGCATTCTCTGTCCAGTGCCGTGTCCTTTATCTCCTGCCCATCCCAGGTTGCTATACACTGCCGCCCCGCCCCCACCCAGGCTCCCCTAGCCCTCCCCCAAGGCACAGCCAAGTACCATGAGGACACCCTGATGGATTTGAGGGCTGGGCCCTCCACGTTGTCTTAGGACTCTGTGTCTGAGAGTGTATACTGACCAATGAGGAGAGGGCAGGAGCAGAGGTGACAGGAACCCTGCCCCCTGGCAGATGACTTTCCACCTCTCTCTCCACCCCCATATCCATCCCAGGAGAATTCGGGGAGGTGTGCAGTGGTCATTTGAAGCTGCCCGGCAAGAGGGAGATCTTCGTGGCCATCAAGACGCTCAAGTCGGGCTACACAGAGAAGCAGCGGCGGGACTTCCTGAGCGAGGCCTCCATCATGGGCCAGTTTGATCACCCCAATGTCATCCACCTGGAGGGCGTGGTCACCAAGAGCACACCTGTAATGATCATCACGGAGTTCATGGAGAACGGCTCCCTGGACTCCTTCCTCCGGGTACGGGAAGCCAGGGGTGCTGGGCCCAGGATGTGGTACCTAGGGGGTCCTGGGAGAGCCCTAGGTCAGGACAGCTTACACACTGTGACTTTCCAAACCCTGGCCCGTGGCAGGCATTGCTATTCAATTCCAGTGGTGCCTCCCATGAAGCCCAGGTGTCCCAGCGTCCTTCTCAGTATGGTTTCCCAATCAATCAGAACCAGCTCACAGCCTGAGCCCTGCTTCCTGCACGCTCTCAGCCACGCTTCTTGTGGTGTGCAGAGAAGCAAGCTCCTGAGTGGTAGACGGGACCGCCAGAGGGTCAAGGTGAAAGCCTAGACTACAACCAGGTGTGTTGATCCCTCCGCCAGAGTTTTCACCAGATTTTAGAGTCACCTAGCACCAGGCAGAGTCCAGAGCGCAAGACCAACAGAGGGGAGTTTCTGGTCTGTCCCCATCTCCCAGGAGAACATAACAAAGGGTGCTGCTCAGCAACACCATCGGGCTAATAGCTGCGCAACAAACACCCATAAAGTACCTACTCGGTGCCTGGCCTCTTCCATGTACCATTTTGCTTAACTCAGAACAGCCCTAGGAAGTAAGAATGGCTTATGCCCATGAGGTTCTGCTACATGTCCCAAGTTGCCCTGCCAAGACGGGGTAGGGACAGGGTCAAGCCACATCCACCTGTTCTGAAGCCCTTGACTTTCCCACCCACCCCCCTGTCAGCCTCTCTCCGGTTCTGCAGCATCTGAGTCTTCCCCACACCCACCCCCAGGGAGCCTGGGGTCAGGGCAGTAGGCACCTGCTCCAGCTCTCCGGAGCTCCCACACCTGCCCTCCTCACATTGACACCGTGTCTTTTTCACTCCTCCTGAAGCAAAACGACGGGCAGTTCACGGTCATCCAGCTGGTGGGCATGCTGCGGGGCATCGCGGCAGGCATGAAGTACCTGGCAGACATGAACTACGTGCACCGTGACCTGGCTGCCCGTAACATCCTCGTGAACAGTAACCTAGTGTGCAAGGTGTCCGACTTCGGGCTCTCACGCTTCCTGGAGGATGACACATCAGACCCCACCTACACCAGTGCCCTGGTAAGTTGGAGCCTGGGAACATGGTGCCTGCTCATGCCTGCTCATGCCCAGTGTGAGGCCCTGGCACCCACATGTCCTGCCTTCCTTCAGCTCCCGGATGGGTGGGATGGCAGTGACAAGGCCGTGCTGCTCTGCAGGCAGGTGAAGGCCTGGTGCAGGGGCAGCACCTGAGCCGAGGCCCTGAGCACGTGGCCATGCTGCGTGACTAGAACATGGGAAAAGGCAGCGAGCAGCTCCGAGGAGACGCCCTAGAAAAGCCCAACCTTGGGACTTGCTGCTGAGAGCAGCTAGGGTTGTTGATAGGTTTTGTTTTGTTTTGTTTTCCAAGATTCATTTATTCAGAAGACAGCAAAAGACAGTTACAGGGAGAGAGCTCTTCCATGTACTGATTCACTCCCCAAATGGTTGCAATGACTGGTACTGGGCCAGACTGAAGCCCAGGAGCCAAGAGCTTCATCCCAGTCTCCTACATGAATGCAGAGACCCAAGGGGTCCAAGCATGTGGGCCATCCTCTGCTGCTTTCCCAGGCACTTTAGCAGGGAGATGGATCAGAAATGGAACCGCTGGGATTCAAACCAGAGCCCATATGAGATACAGGCACCTGATGTGCCACAATGCTGGCCCCAAAAAGTCTTTTTTGTTTGTCTGTTTTAAGGTTCATTTTTTATTATTATTTGAAAGGCAGAATTACAGAGAAAGAGAGAGACAGGTCTTCCAACCCCTGATCCACTCCCCAAATAGCCACAAGAGTTGGGGCTGTCAGGCTAAAGCTTCTTGTGGGTCTCCTACATGAGTGCAGGGTCCGCAGCACTTGGGCCATCCTCCATTGCTTTCCCACGTGCATTAGCAGGAAGCTGGGTTGGAAATGGAGCAGCTGAAGTTTGAACCAGCACCCATATGGGCTGCCAGCAATTGTAGGTAGCAGTCTAACCCATTACACCACCGTGCCTACCCCCAGAAAGAGCCTTGAGCTAAAGGAGTAAGATACAGGTCTGCCCTCAAAGAGCTCCGGCTAATGCCAGTGGAGCCAGACCAGCAGGTAAGTCCGTTGAGGGCTGTGCTGGGGGAGAGGTGCCTGGGACAGGTAGAAGGCAGCAGTGGGATGAAGAAGAGAGAGGAGTTCTTTGGACATGAGGGAAAGGCTTTTGGGGGCCACATGGATATGAAGGAGGAGAGGTCTGGCTAGCAGAATGGGCAGGACAGCATGTGCAAATGTCCTGTTGTCAGAAGCACGTGGAGAGTGGGAAGCAGGGAGCTGCCTCCTGAGAGTGCTGCAGCCCAGCCATCAAGCAGGGAACTGTCAAGAGAAGAGGTCACCCAGGTCAGCCTCCCACCCACCGGCCATCTCTTGCTGTCCCTCAGGGTGGGAAGATCCCCATCCGCTGGACAGCCCCGGAAGCCATCCAGTACCGGAAGTTCACTTCAGCCAGCGACGTGTGGAGCTACGGTATCGTAATGTGGGAAGTGATGTCCTACGGGGAGCGGCCCTACTGGGACATGACCAACCAGGATGTGAGTCTCTATGGGGATTGGAGTGGGGGGGCCCTCATGGCCTTCTGTTACCCTGGGGCATAGGAGTCAGGCTGTTGAGATCGGCAGCCTGCCAGGGCTGTCCCCAGGTCAAGGTCAGCTGAGGTGTATGCATGCCCAGGACCTGCATCCTCTGGGGTGGGGGTGGGGAGCAGTAGGCAAAGCGCCTGTGGCCAGCTACATGTCCACCATGTAACTGGGAGGCACTATGTTTCAGGGGCCTAGGGGCAGTCATCAAGAGCTCTGTGGTCAGGTACACAGGTCTAGAGCTCTGTCTGTGGGCCTTGAGGTCAGGGCAGCCTGGAAAGGATCAGCCAGGAAGTCTTTGGTGGGACTCAAGTGGGAAAAGAACTGGTGGAAATGAGGACTCCCAGGTGGAGAGGGCAGCCTGTGCAAAGGCCCAGGGGTGGGATAGGAGGAGGTGTGTTGGGGAGTCAGGGGAAGAGAGCTGGCCGTGAACGGAGGTGAGGGTCTGTGTTACGTGAATGCCAGCCCAAGGGTTTTCATGAGCAAAAGCACCGGCAGAAGAGCCACAGAAACTCCTTAGAGAAGGACAAGGTCAGATCCCCAGGGGTATCTGAGCTGCTCTCCCTGACTCATGAGCCAGTGGGGTAATGGGAGGAAGCACCAGCCAGGCTCCAGGCTGTGCTGTAGGAAACATCTCACCCCTGGAACCGGCAATGGATGGCACAGGTTGCACAAGACGTGGCCACGCTGAGACCCAGCAGGGGCCAGGAGGGGGTTGGGGTCACAGAGGGGAAAGAGGGCATAGCTGTGGAGTAGGCACAGGAAGGCCAGCATGGCAGGCCCTACGAGAGGTTATGGTCAGGGTGCTGAATCCCTAACATTGGCAGAGCACCCAGCTGCCAGCTCAGTGGTGGGAAACATGGCAAGCCCAGCTCTGGGGTCCCCTCCAGGAAGGGGAGGTGGTGGCCATGACAGCCAGGATGCTCAGGCCCAGGAGCGCACTGAGGTCACCAGCCCCGCCCTTGTCCCCATGTTGTCCCCAGGTGATCAACGCCATCGAGCAGGACTACCGGCTGCCAGCGCCCATGGACTGCCCGAGCGCCCTGCACCAGCTCATGCTGGACTGCTGGCAGAAGGACCGCAACCACCGACCCAAGTTCGGCCAGATCGTCAACACGCTAGACAAGATGATCCGCAACCCCAACAGCCTCAAAGCCATGGCACCCCTCTCCTCCGGGTACGGCCCTGCCCTGCTCCGGCTGGGCCATGGCTGCCTCCTGCTTCTGGCTGGTGTCCTCTAGTGCAGCCAGGGCTGGGGACAGATAAGAGCAGTGGTGGATGGCATCTTCCCAGCTTGGGGGTGTGGAACACGGAGCATCAGAGGATAAGGGTGTGTGCCCTTGTAGGTGGCAGGGGAAATGTTTTTTAAAGTATGGGCACAGAGCACAGTAGCTGGACTGGCAGCTCATCACTCCCTCACACTCCCCCTGGAGCATTCTCATTGACATTCTGCACCTACGCACACGTATACATATGCTCAAATACAGTCCTCCACACACAAGGACACACAATTAAATACAAACACTTGGGCTTCCTCACACACGGACACACACAGCATCTCACACCTCCCCACTGCCACAGGCCACTGCACACACAGCCCACTCAGAATCTTACACCCCACACACGGCGTGTGTCCCCACGCTGAGGTCAGCGTCTCCAGGCCAGAGAGCCTGACTCCATGTAGGAAATGTTGCCACAGACTCCTTGGAGCATTCCATCTCCCCAGGGTCCTGGGGCAGGCTCCACCGGGCCACCACTCACCACTGCCCACCCTGGGCAGTTGCCACTCCCACCCCCAAGCTGACCCTGCACCTTCTCACTCCTCAACTCTGCAGTCACCAGCTCTCCAAGGCACATCCGGCTGTGTGGCTGAAAGCTGCCGGCCTCACTGCTCTCAGACTGTTTGGGCCACGGTCCTTCCTCCGCTGAGATCTGCACACTGCTTCTACTTGTCACACCCCCCGCGCGCTCTGTGTCAGCCCCTCCTGGCTCGCTCTCTGGCTGAAGCCACTCTGAGCTTTTGACAACAGGGGAAATCATTTCACTCCTGGCCAGTAGGGACATCATTGCCATCCACACCACCTGTTTCCCTGGGCTCTGGGGCTGCAGCCCTCCTGTAGCACAAACCCCAAGCAGAGCAGGATGGAGAGCAGCCCTTGGGGCAGGGGCAGGAAGAGATGGGCAGAGTGACCCTCGCTGGAACCCTGTCTCTTGGAAATTAGAACCATAGAGAAGTACCTCCTGCTCTTGTTCCCGAGGGCCCAGCAGAGGCAGCTCCAGCCTTAAGTGCTGCCCACACGTACTTGCCCACTACGATCACAGAGTGGGTATGCAAGTGTGCATGCGTGACCGCCCACGGGTATGTCTGTGCACACCCCCTCACTCCTGTGAGGACACAGGCCCTGACCATCCCTGTCACCCACCCTCCCACCCTCCCCAGGATCAACCTGCCGCTGCTGGACCGCACAGTCCCCGACTACAGCAGCTTTAACACGGTGGACGAGTGGCTGGAGGCCATCAAGATGGGGCAGTACAAGGAGAGCTTCGCCAACGCCGGCTTCACCTCCTTCGACGTCGTGTCTCAGATGATGATGGAGTGAGTGCCCATTGCCCCCAGATGCCCACTCCCTTGGCCAGTTGAGCAGGGAGCCCTGGAGGGTGAGGGACAGGCAGTGTCCCCGTAGAGAGGGTGGGGACCAAGGGGTCAGATGGCCGACTCTGGAGAGACAGTGCTACATCGCTGTGACTCTTGGATGGGTGACCATAGGCAAATCCCAACATGGCCCTCGGCTTCTGTCTGCTCGTGTGCGAATTGGGGCTTTAGTAGGAGGCTGAAAGAGTTGGCAGGAATTGGTGCCTTGAAAATACAAACTCCTGTCCCATCCCCAGGGCAGAGGGGAGAAGGGTACTTAGGCACCCCAAGTCTGTCCAGTGCTCTTCCAATCCCGCAGCCCCTGTAGCCCAACCCTGCTTTCCTATCCCAGACCTGCCTGAGGGAGCCCTGCCCCCTGCCCCCCTCTCTCCACATCCCTGACAAGCGTGCTTCTTTCCCAAAGGGACATTCTACGGGTGGGTGTCACACTGGCCGGCCACCAGAAAAAAATCCTCAACAGCATCCAAGTGATGCGGGCCCAGATGAACCAGATTCAGTCTGTGGAGGTCTGACAGTCACCGCCTCGTCGCACCTGTTCCTACAGACCCCGCCCCCTCTGCCCCACACGCTGGCCCCCCTGGCGCTCCGTCCACTGCAGGGTCAGCCACCTGCCAGGAGGCCGCCGACAACAGGAAGGAGCAAGCAGCACTGCAGCCACGAGGCGTCCCCCGAGAACACAGACCACTCAGACGACGGAAATAAGGGAATAGGGAAAAAAAATAGCAAAAGAAAAAAATAGATCCTGGGAGGGGGCGGGAGACACAAGGACCATTTTTTTAAAAAAGGATTCTCATGAAGAAAGTAATGACCGATCTTGGAGCAAACACACAGCGGCCTGGGAGATCCAGGCAGTTTGTCCAGCCAGACACCAATGGCAGCTTCTCTCCGTGGCGCTCTGGGAGGAAGGTGGTCCAGCTAGAGGCGAGGATCGGAGGTGAAGAAGGGGAGAGCTGGGGGGCCGCCCCCCTCTCCTGACCTCAGGCTGCTCAGGCCAGAGCCGAGTGCCAGGCCCACGGGGCAGGCGGACAGACGGCCACCCTGGGCCCCCGCTCTGGAAAACTCCATGCCTGCTGCCACTGGGTAGACAGAAAACTGGTCTGTCTTTGGAGAAGAGTTGGGGAACTCCAGTGAGAGACCACTTCTCCTGCCAGTTCCTGGGGATGAAGTGGGGGCGTCCGTCCACCCGGAGCAGGGAGAGCCCCAGATGCCCGAGGAAGGGCGTCCTTGCTTGAAGATGACCCTCCCCTACGTCTGCAGCTCCTGCACACAGCCCGGCCCCCAGGGCACCCCCAGCCAAGACCCAATGCTGCAGGCACTGCCGTCAGCTATGACTGCCACCGACGAAGGCAGCTCCTGCGACTGGGTTTGTTGAGAGCAACTCGTGGACTTGGGGGGAGGGGGAGGGAATTTTGGTCACGGGTGGTTTTGGTTGGGGGGGTTTGTTTGTTGGATTTTTTTTTTTTTAATGAAATGACACTTTGACGTTTCCTACCTTTGGAGGACTTAATCCTTCTCCAAGAAGAAGGTGCTTTCTGCGTTACTGACTTAGGCAATACACCAAGGGCGAGATTTTATATGCACATTTCTGGATTTTTTATACGGTTTTCATTGACTTCCTTCTCACTTCCCACCTGCTGCCAGGCCTCACCAAAGCCAACCGCCACGGGACCATCTGGCCATCCAGAGACTCCAGAGAGATTTCAGTGGGGAGGGGGAGGCGCCAAGGTGGGGGGAGCAGCCATCTCCCCTCCCACACTCCCCCTACCACCCCAGGATTATTTTTGAAAGCGACAGATTGAGCAGGAAGTGGGCTGTGGGACTACTCTCCACCCACCCCAGTTGATCCAGTACTTCCCAGGCAAATAGGCCCATTTCGAGGTTCCTGGGTGCCCGGAGATGGCCAAAGTCCAGTTTTGCTGCTGGGACTGGGAAACTGGGCTGCACCAGAGGCCAGGACCCGGCTCCTTCACTGTGATAGCCCCGCCCTGCAGAGGGCACTCCTGGGGCCCAGGCAGGCCATGCGCTTTCTCTTCCCTGCGAGGGGATGTGTGTGATTTCTCTGCCACCTCCAGGCCTTCGCCCAGGTCTGGGGGTTTGGGCTATGGGAAACCATCAGCCAAGAGGTCCGGCCACAGATTCTGCCCTGTGAGCCAAGGCAGGCACCTGAGCGGAACAATCGGTTAGTGAGCAGAATGGAAATAAACGCTTTAGTTATAAAACGGCCCCTGTGCTCTGTGCATTCCAAGAGAGAGCCTGGTACCCTTGGGGCGTGCCGGGTGGCCCATCACGTCCTCCCAGGATTCTAGAAGGCCTAGGACCAAGCAGACACTTGAAGGACAGCAGAGCTGCATCTGACCCTTCAAAAGCACAGGCAACAAAAGTGAGCTGGACCCTGGCATCTGATGCCCTGGGTGTCCAGGTAAGTCACTGCATCAGAAGAAGGAAGCTGACTGGGTGTACACCACACTCCAGGCCCAGCAGAAAGGGGAGCTGTGAGGATGGACTGTGACAGTCGGAGGTCAGGGGATGTTCCTGGTGTGTCCACTTGCCCACCTGTCAGGAATGGCCACCTTCTCTCGGCCAGCTTTAGACAAATGGGCTCCTACTGTCGTCGCGCGTACATCTCTGTGTGCACGGAGAGGCTGCGCTGTGCACAGGAGGTCCGATGGAGAAGGAGGAGGCAGGGACACCCCCCTCTCAGGGCCTTTTGGTTTGTCCAGGGACCTTCCTCGAGGAGACCGACTCCGAGGAATGATCCAGCAGGTTCAAGAGCCTGCGGTCAGAGTGCGCCCAGCCAGGCCAGCCTGTTGTCTGTCACTTACCTGGTTCCCAGAGCCATGATGCCACTCAAAGGCAAGGAAAGGATTAGAGGAGTGTCAGCTCCCTGGGGGGACAGCAGGGCCAGCCACAAGGAAAGCCCTGGCAGGCTTCCCATTGCCTGGCTATCAGGGGCCCACTGGCCAGCCCTCTGTGCCCCCAAGATGCCCGCACGGGTGGCAGCTGTCCCAGCACACAAGGTCACCTTCTGGCTGCACTGATGCTCTTTAGATTAACTCTGTCTCCCCAGCCCACCCCCTACCCTGCTGCTCCAGGGCCCCCACAAGGGGCTGGCATCGGTGCTTCCTGTCAGATGGCTTCCTGTCCTAAGCCGCTAGGCTGGGTTCCACTGGCCAGTGTGTCTGCTTGTCCATCCCCTGGGGCCCAAGGGCCTCAGTGGCCTTGGACGCCACATTCCTGCTTCCCAGAGTACGGGTGCTCCCCAGACCCTCTGTCTCTCCTTCCAGGGAGCAGACAGACAACACTGTGACTGTCCCCAGGTGCAGGTGCCGCTCCTCCCCTCCACAGGCGCAATGGCCCCCGCCCCCACCTCTTGGTTGCTGCTCGGCAGGGAGTGGCAGGTTGCGCTGCCAAACCCCTTCTACTTAAGCTGCCCACTCGCCCAGGCACACAGCCCCAAGCCGTTGCTGCCTGGTTACTAATCCTTTCCTGGCGCCACTTCCCCAAGTGCCAGCCCCCACCTGCCCAGCAGTGGGAGAGGCGTTTCCGGCTGCACTTGCACAGTTGGTGCTTAAGGAAGGAAAGCTGCCCTCATCAACACAGACCAGAGCACTGTGGAAATGGAGCCAGCTGCTCTGGGAGGACGTGACTGGCAGAGCTGCGCCAGGGCCAGGCTGGGGAAGAGCGCTGTGCCACCCACCCTGGTCCCTGCTGCCCCCACTGGGGGGGGCGGTTATTGTCAGGAATCAGCTGGCCTCTTCCCAGAGGGTGATAGTTACAAAGCTGATTAGCTGGGAAGACGTGAACTGACCAATCAGAACAGATAGTGGTCATGGCAGGGTTCCGTGGGGATGCCTCAGGGACTCACAGCAAGGGCTGTTTACCAATGCCAGCAGTGCCCCTGGTTCAGAGGGCATCACTTGAACTTGCCCCATTCTTTACTGGTTGTTTCTCACTCTGTCACAGTCTAGGGGCTCATGGCCAGAAGGCTAAGGGGTACCCACCCTGCCCAGCTCATCACCACACTGGGCACAGGAAGGCTGCAGGCCACTGCCCACCCTAGTGCCAGGCCCTCGGCTACTCTGGGCTCTCCCAGGATCCCAGTAGTGCAAGACTTCCCCAGGACATGTCCCTACCTTCATGGGACCGGCTGTAGCCCTGACCTTGTGGCTGTCTGCTGCAATTACTAGCATGGGCACAGATTTAGGGAAACCCTTCCCCTCCCTGGGTAAGGCAAGTGAAATGCCATGTGCACCTCCGTGCTGGGGGCAGGAAACAGCAGCTCGGGGGTGATGTGGCTGGAGGGGGCAGGGCGGGCCCTGAGCCCCAGTCTGTCCGCTGGGGTGCCCACTCTCCCATACTCAGATAACAGGAAGCTCTTGATCTCTGCTGCTGGTGGGTCAGAGAAGAGAAAGCTCAGATGGGGAGGCCTTCTTGGAGGAGGCTGACTTGAAAATGACAGAAGTGGGAAGAAAAGGCATGCCAAGATGCAGTGGCCATGTGGAATGGCACAGTAAGGAGCCAATTCCACATGGGTCCGAGGAGTGGTAGGAGGTAGGGAACATAGCAAGAGGGGAGGAGGAAGTTCAGGCAGGTTGGGCACAAGCTATGGTGCAGCAGAGAATGCTGGGGCGGCAAGGGCAGGGTTCTAGAAGTCAGTTCAGCCTCCTCGAGCCTTGGAAGAAGAGCCTGGGAGTGGCCCTGCTTCCTCACTGGGCTAAGGGCCGCCCCACATCCTCTGGGTCACGGAGGCAGGGGACACGAGGGACAGGAAAGTTAGCACCTGCTGCCAGGCCTGTAGGGAGCTGGGCATGGGCAGCTCCCAGGAAGCCCATCTGTCTCAGGCATCTTAGAAAGGCCCTGGGGTCCTACACTTTTCAACAGTGCATTCTGAAAAAACCCAGAAGGGACCAGCCCAGGACCCCTGCAGATCCCTGCCATCAAGTCTCGGGTGGGCAATGGTCTCCTTTACCCTTTGGGGAGACCCATGTCAGATTGCCAGTGACATGAGGTGACCTGGGTCCCTGAGCAGGAGCCCAGAAAGAATGCAACCTCAGGCCATGCCCCAGGGGAGGTAGAGCTTAGGGTAGAAAGAGACAGGTGCCAGGGGGAAAAAAATGCATGTACAGCATTACCATATGCCAAAGCATTATCTGTCCCTGATCGGCAAGTCAGGTGAACCACCTGAGGGCTTCCTGGAAGAGATGTTCAGAGGAGGCCCTGTCCCTGGCTGCCGGCTAGCAGTGTGCCTCTCCCACTCCCAGCACTGTTCCTCAGTTGCCATCACCAGAGTCTCCTGGGCTACTCATTGGGCAACCTCCCAGATTCCACTCTGCTCCCCGTAACTCTGAGTCCCAGAAGCCCGCACCAAGCTTCCTCCAGACACCCCATCAGGCTTTGGCCATGACCAGGGAGCGCTTGGGCATGGTCAACCAAGATGCCCCAAGCTAGCAGAACCCCCACAAAGGGGACTTGGGGTGGCCCTCAGGAATGTTCTGGGACCAGACTGCCACTAAGACCCCACATCCACAGCCTGTCTGAGCTCAACTTCATAGCACTAAGGCTGCTGCAGGAAAGCTGACATGGCAAAAAGCAGCAGCAACTTGACACTTCAGATGGGACCCCCACAGAAACCCTCTAGACACCCATCCCGCCCCACACCCCCCAAGACTAAGAACCAGGGCCTGGCTCAGTGAGCT